AAAGATGTAACTGCTCATCAATGTAAAAACAATATGAAGGTGTTACTGCTCATCAATATAATAAAACGATATAAAGATATTACTAAAGATGTAACTGCTCATCAATGTAAAGATAATATGAAGGTGTTACTGCTCATCAATATAATAAAACGATATAAAGATATTACTAAAGATGTAACTGCTCATCAATGTAAAAACGATATGAAGGTGTTGCTGCTCATCAATATAATAAAACGATATAAAGATGTTACTAAAGATATTACTGCTCATCAATATAATAAATCGATATAAAGATATTACTAAAGATGTAACTGCTCATCAATGTAAAGATAATATGAAGGTGTTACTGCTCATCAAAATAATAAAACGATATAAAGATGTTACTAAAGATATTACTGCTCATCAATATAATAAATCGATATAAAGATATTACTAAAGATGTAACTGCTCATCAATGTAAAGACGATATGAAGGTGTTACTGCTCATCAATATAATAAATCGATATAAAGATATTACTAAAGATGTAACTGCTCATCAATGTAAAGACGATATAAAGATGTTACTGCTCATCAATATAATAAATCGATATAAAGATATTACTAAAGATGTAACTGCTCATCAATGTAAAGACGATATAAAGATATTACTGCTCATCAATGTAAAAAAAAGATATAAAAATGTTAGTGCTCATCAATGTAAAAAACAGTATAAAGATCAATGTAAAAACAATATAAAGATGTTACTGCTCATTCATATAATTAAACGATATAAAGATATTACTAAAGATTTAACTGCTTATCAATGTGAAAAACGATATAAAGATGCTCATCAATATAATAAATCGATATAAAGATATTACTAAAGATGTAACTGCTCATCAATGTAAAGACGATATGAAGGTGTTACTGCTCATCAATATAATAAATCGATATAAAGATATTACTAAAGATGTAACTGCTCATCAATGTAAAGACGATATAAAGATATTACTGCTCATCAATGTAAAAAAAAGATATAAAAATGTTAGTGCTCATCAATGTAAAAAAACAATATGAAGATGTTACTGCTCCTAAAGGTAAAAAAAAAACATTTAAAGATGTACTTCTCATCTCTAATTCTAGGCGATTAGGTGCTCCTTAAGATAAGAAATTTCTGATGCCTGTGCCAGTGCTTCCGGGTAGGCCCGAATGTGTAATGAAAGGATATAAAGATGTTACTGCTCATCAATGTAATAAAATAATTTAAAGATGTTACTACAGATGTTACTGCTCATCAATGTAATGAAATATAAACATGTTACAGCTCACTAATATAAAAAATGTAATAAAGCGATAGAAGGATGTTACTGCTTATTAATGCAAAAAAAAAAAAAAAAAAAAACTATATAAAGTGTTACTAAATACATGTATTTGAAATAAGCTCAAATCCATCTATTTACTTTTATTGAACTATTTCAGTTGTAACATTTCTAAATAAAAATAGACATAGTTTTGTCTGTGATTTCAAGACGGACGGGCTTAAAGATAGGTTTCCTTATTTTTTAGTGTCAAATTAAGCAAACTGTATGATTAATTTGTGTTTCTTATGAATTAAAATACAGATGTGAGGTCACCCTTTGATCTTTTTGGGCTCCTGGTCGAAGTCCATCAAGGGGGGCAGTTTAGTTTGAGCTTTTTGATCGACATAGTGTCAAATGGTCTTAATCAGCCAAAATTCTACTCGATGTGTAGGTGATCCTGCCTTGAGTCACTAAATGCGATTATTGATAATGGTCCCAATGACGTCATTTTCTGATCTATCAATTTTATTACTTTGTTTCCACAACAAAAGTGATGTATAAAAAGTTGAAAAGCGATATCTATGCTCATATATTTATAATATTTGGCTCTAACCATGTTGCAGCGGATATATCATTCAATTACTAGTAGTAGTCATAATATATAAGATGATATGCAATAATGTGGCATAACGTATCGATCGGAGATGTCTTTTTCAAACATATTTAGGACAGACCATCTCGGGTAAAATGGTATGTAACAAGCTACCCCATAGTGGTAATAGTTTTAACGATGACGATACGGTAATTGCTTTTGGATTGAAACCAGAATTAGATGAAGACATATTACTAAGAGCTTACGATCTTATACGTGAACTGGGTGAAGAGGTTCCTGAATGTGTAAGACTGACCTCTGCCACTCGCCTAAAATCCAAATCTGACTCTAAACCCGGCATCGTTAAAATCAGTTTTGAAAATATTGAACAAAAAATCACTGTACTACGTAACAAGTCAAAAACTTATATCGTAAATACTCTGATGTATATTATCGCGTTCAAAATCTTATACAGAAAGACTTTTCGAATCGGACACAAGATTGTTACTAGGCCTGCGTTATCTACCAAATACTGAAAATCTTAAAATGAATTCACAGGGTCGTATTCTGGAGAACAGAACCCCGATTACACAAAGACAAAACAGTGAATAGCAACCAAACACCTTTGGATTATGTACCTTAAATGTTTGTGGTCTGAAATCGAAGCAATTACCAAAAGACTTCGAAAACTTTTTATCTGAATTCGAAATTATCTGCCTTACAGAAATAAAACTAGGAAAATATAACCCAATTAATATACCTAGCTAAAATGTATTTGTCAATACCAGAAAGAATTGCGGTGGCGTTGGTGTACTGAATAAAACGGAATGGATGAAACACGTAAAGATGTACGACATTGACAGTGACTTTATGATTTGGTTTAGTATAATTTTACCCTACTGTGTTGCTCAGTATCCATCCCCCCTTACAATACCCCTATTGCAAAATCGAAATGTTTGATGATATTGAACACCAATACTTAAAATTGAGTGATGAATCAACTTAATTCTGTTTACTGAGAGATCTGAATTCACGCATTAATTGGCGCGACCTCAGGAACACCACAACACCAAGACAATAATACTCACATAGATCCACCTGAATACCCTCACATTGTTATTAATAACAACCATGACACCGATCATTATCTCAGCTTAAATTATCTATCATTAATTCGTACAAGTCAAGATTTAATTACAATTGTGTACCAACCTTGGTATGTACATTCTGAATGGAAGGTGTGGATCGGATGCACAACTTGGGGAAAATCACTTGTGATGAAAAATCTGTTGTAGACCATATAATTGGGTCAGAGAAGCTCCTAGAGGTTATAGAAAATTTATATATCTCTGAATTCGATGATCTTATATCTGATAAACATAGTACGGTTTTGTTAACTGTCAGAACAAAACCATCCCAAGGATATACTAACAACTCCAAAGCAAAATCCGAGAAAACAACAATACACAAAAATTACCTGGAGTTAAGCGGTGATTTTATAGCGAATTTGTCATCTTCCGATATAGGATCTGTGGAAATTGTATTGCAGCATGAAGACCTGAATACCACAGATCAACATAGGATGAATCAATTAGTTCTAAGTATCGGAAACATCCTACAAGAGAGTGTAGCTATATCAGGTATCAGAAAAACAATCAAAGTAGGTCAAAAGCAAAACCAAAGACGCGAAACTAGCCACAAAACCTGGTTCGACGACGGATGTGAAAGGAAATGTGCGGTAATCTTTAAAGTAAAAAATAATTTTAGACTGTGTAAGTTAGATGAGATCAAAATATGCTGGAAGAAGCTAGCATAACTCGAACAAACGTCAACTAAGGAATTCATATGCTCAATATTACAGACAGTTCAATGTTGATTTAAAATCATTAAAAAGAACAGACACCAAAAGATACTGGAAAATGTTAATGGAAATAAGTAGTCAAATAATGACACGGTCATGCCAAGTTTCTCTGAATTTTACAATTATTTTAAGAACCTGAACGCTGAAGAAGCGATTTCAGAAACAATAGAAATGAAATCTTGGAAAGTGGGAGGATTACTGACATAAACGAAAGACTTGATTTTAGATTCACATTACAAGAAGTAAAAGCAGGCATCAATAAACTAAAGACTTACAAGACTCATGATTCGGATGATATCATCAAAAAGTTCATGATATTTTCAGTATCAAAAATGTTGTTATTGTATGTGAATTTGTTCAACCTTATTCTAGAGTCAGGAGTAATTCCTACTGATTGGCAATTAGGTAATATTACACCTATTTACAAGAAAGGTGACAAATCTGATGCCATTAACGAGGTATTACAGCCCTAATAAATCAAGAACTATCTAGTTTCGGAGAAGAGTATGATCTCATAGGTGCAGAAAAACCTGGTTTTCGTAAAGGGTTCTCCTGTATTGATCACATTTATACTTTAAAGTGCCTTATTGATCTATAGTCGAAAGAAACGAATTTATGCAATATTTGTTGACTACTCCACAGCATTCGACAAAATCCCAAAAATCAGCCTCTGGGATAAGATGTTAGGATGAAATATCACAGGTAAACTGTTTAACCTGATTTTTAATTTGTATCGTAATGCTAAGTCAAAAGTATGGGTAAATAATTATCTGTTATATACCTTTGACTGTTTGGTAGGGGTCGGACAGGGAGAAAGTATCTCCCCTCTTCTGTTTGTAATTTATCTGCGAGATCTTAACGAACGTCTGGCCACTACGATGGTCTTAGTTATCTGACAGAATTGGCAAGCATGAGCAAGATGATGTCGAACTTGATAACCTTCTGAAATTGTTTTCATCATTGTGTGCAGACGATACAATTATCTTGGCCGAGTCTGAACAAGGCCTACAAAATGCCTACTGCAATATCTGGCAACTGACATTTAATGTCTCAAAAACAAAAGTTGTTGTATTTTCCAGAGGAAAGATTCGCAAGCTGCCTCATATATATTTCGATAATCAAACAATAGAAGTTGTAAATGAGTATTTATATCAAGGTGTATTGTTTAATTATAATGGCTCATTTAAAAAAGCCACAAGTCGTCTTTATCACAAAGCCAGTAAGGTTATGTTTGGTATTTTGGTTTCGTAGTAAAACTCTGCACCTTGACATTGACACTCAGCTCCTCTTTTCAACACACTGATTGTTCCAATACTACTGTATGACTGTGGAGTATGAGGAGATCGTGCGCCCCCCATCGAACGCTAGCAATTAAGATTTTGGAAATATATACTTGGTGTCAAAAGCAGTACGCCCAGTGTAATGATCTATGGTGAATTAGGCATGGGCCACTTGAAATCATGATAAAATGCAGCATTATAAGTTACTGGCACAAAATGATCTCAGGAAACCCAGATAAGCTTAACTACATTATGTTCATATATGATAAAATTATGTCCATCAAATAACTGGCTACATGCAGTCAAAAGTATCTTGGATGAAGTGGAACTCTCCTTTGTATGGGACACAAACGGTAGTACTGTTAATAGCAAATGTTTACAGAGTATGGTTACCTCTCGTCTCAAAGACCAATTTGTGCAGAAATGGTCTTCAACAATTATACCTCACAAAAATGTGTATCATACCGAATATTTAAAACCGATTTTAAGTTTGAAGATTTTCTTGAGCACCCATCAAAAAGCTATCGTTTAACATTTACACGTTCCCGTTGTAGGAATAACAAACTGCCTATTGAAACTGGCATATATGCATGTATACCCAGAGAACAACGGACGTGTACACTGTGTAAATCAGAACAAATAGGCGAAGAATTCCATTACCTCTTCCAATGTCCATCATTCGCATAAATGAAAATAAGGGAGCACATCTTTAAACCGTTTTATAGCGTTCTTGAGTATACTTACAATGTAGAATGAATAGTTACAATAGCACAGTTAGGTTTAAGTCGGGTTAATTGATGTCGAAACCATATTAGGGCAAACAAATCGAATTAGTTTTGGAGTACCAAATTTGTCACTCTCATAACACTCAAATTATATAAAGGAATTACTTAATAACTGCATAGGTACACTAAAATAAGCGTTGTCTTTAGTATATTTATATTATTTGTTTATTACTTCCCCTTAATAACAAGTTTCTGAAAAACATTCCCTTGTACAACGGCGTTGTGCGAATATCGATCGGCTTTTAGATCGATCGTTTACCACAAGGTAAGGTAAACGTGGCCAGAATGTAGAACAAAAGGACATCATTTTCCCCATTCATTCAACCTGCAACCCCTCCGATACATAGATCTACAAGCAATGGCGTTACTGAATGAGGGAAAGAGGAGCCGCGGTGGCTCAGTTTTTTATTGACGCTTGCTCGCTAACGCACGAAGTTATGTCCAAGTGGAAATGTATAGATCAGGACATTTTTGTATGACTATCTGGCTATAAACGTCATTTCTAAAAGCAGATTGTATGTTAATTCTTTAAAGAGATACTACGTCTTAGGATGAACATAAAATTTTAATTTTGCTCAAATTTTGCCAATAACAGAATATATCCATCAGTGGACTTACCTGGTGTCCTAACTATACATCAAAATCCTCTATAATCCGATATCAAGTAATTAATATTATAAAACGCTTAATACATCCATTAAGCGATTTTCAAATCGTGGAAATCCGGTGTAATTTTCAAGGGAAGTAACTCTCAAGTGGGTTTCCCGCGTCCTTGACCTCTACTCTTGAATTGACCTCGACATTGTCATATTTTGAAAACGGAATCGACTCCGCGAAAACGCAATTCATATAATTTAGAATGAATACTCCACCACTGACACAATTTTCAACGAATATTAATCATTGGCAAAGTTTGTTTGTATACACCGGAGGATGATTGTTTCCTGTTTTAGCGTTGATTACCCAGACTCTTTTTTTCTCAAACTGAACGGATTCATGGCTTGCTCATTTTTTTTTAAAATTATGATTATAGTTTTATTGTCGATTTTTCAAAATTGATTAAGTGTGGGATGCATACTTATTTAACCAATGGTCACTATTAAACACAAATATTAGCCACAGGGCGAGTGTATTCTAAGACGTAGTATCACTTTAACATTAAACAACAGATGGGATTGCCTCTCTCGGTCTAGAATGAATTTTGACTCCATTAATTCAATTAATTCAAATGAGATCTCTTTTCACGTTCCATCGCGAAATTCAACCTCTTATAACTTGTCCTAAAACTCTCGTTGAAATCCTTCCTTTAAAGGAACAAGTTCACCACCCGTTTGACCAATCTTCACTCAGTCACAAAAGCGGACATATTAAGCCAAGCTAATCAAAAATAGTATTCACAGCTCAAAATTTCAGCCTTCAATTCCACGTGTGTTCAGAATTATCCCGGTTTGAAAGTTAAAAAATAAAATAAAAATGCACCATGTATAGAAAGGATAATATCAAATTGTATAGAATTAGAATGTGAATTTTTTTTAGTTTGAGATATAGTTGAAGGGATTGTGCGATTTCGTGTCGTTCTAGAAGTTCTAAATAATAATACATGTATTTGTCATACAAATACAGAAACAACACAGATAATGTAAATGGAGTCTTAAAAGAGCAACGGAAACTAAGTGTCCTAATTTTGTTTCCTCCTGTCTAAAATATTCAAATATTTGCGGACTTTCTGGTAGTTACTGAAGGTCAACTCCTTGGGTTTTATAAAATACACAGATACACTGACACCGTTCAAGAAAAGCAACTGGAAATGGGAATGTCACATTCAAAAGAGAGATCATAATCTTAGTGATAGTATTCTTATTCTAGCGAGGAAAGATTTTGATGATGTCTTGTTTGTTTATTTCCCATTTTCGATGGATTTTAAAGGCATAGTAGAGAGGTTTTCGTTACTTTTAATGTGATAAATCGTGACACTGATAGTGCCGATTTATTATCATGGAATCTTCCGCCGTAAAATCCACCTTAATCATTAGATCGTCGAACTTAAAACAAATAACAAAGACTCTTCAGATACCGAAATCCCTTCTTAGTCTGGTGCCCAAATACATCACATCCAGTCCATCATCGACAACTACCACGATGATTCTAAACCAGCTACGGTTATCAAAAAATAGATCTCAACAGCCAAACAGCTTTTCCCTTTCGCAAAGATCATATTTACCTTTATACCCACATCCAAAAGCATTACGAAGAAAGCTCTGCAGAATCTTGGATCATGGCCCTCGGCGTAGAAAGAAAGTCAAGTTAAATCGTATATATACCCCTGTAAATAATGTACAATCTTTAGCTAGTTATAATTATTTCGTTTATATATCAGATGATTGCAACACAGCTGAAAATATTGTTAAAGATAGTAAAAGTTTGCAATGATAATGATGAATATATAATTATGGTTGAGAATCTTCCTTCTAATTTAAGTTTAGATTGTAATAGTGATAAATACTTCATTCCCTTATGACTTGCGTAGTTGATGTTAATACTATCCTTGATTCAGATATTTCACAACCACATCAGATACAGAGATATTAACCGATACGACAATCACTCAGGATGAAAAATACACACGTAATGCTAGTCAAAAACATCTTTTACGTCACTTTGATAATACTCTTGGTACTTTTGCCGAATTGCAATATTCAGACTTTGAAACCTATAAAGATAGGAATTATGTTTGCTCCTGTGAACACTGTTAAAAGCGAAACTTAAACAAAAGCCTATACTCACTCGGGAATCATAGCTGATTTGATGTATGGTAGATTGATTTATATGGACCGGTTTCCATGTCTACTTCAGAAAATATTATATTATATATTTACGGCCATAGATATGTTTAGTAAGTTTGTTTATATGTTACCTGTAGCGAATAGTGATTCGTTAACTTGAGCTAATGATCTTGTACAATTGTTAACATCTTTTGGTGTTTATAACACATTACTTAGTGACATGGGGTTGTGAGAATATTGCAAAATGTACCAAAGCAGTTTGTAACTTATTAGTTGTACCTCAACAGTTCACGCCTAGTTTTACCGAACACTGGTTAGGGGCATGTGAACGTTCACACAGAACTTTAGCTGAACGATTAACCCTTTTCATATCTCATAACAATTGTTAGTGGCAAGACAAATTATCTTCTATATAGTGTTTCCTATCAACAATACTGTCAACTCTTCCCTAGGTTTTTCCCCTTTCGAAAAAAATGTGTATGGGCGTTGATCCAGCTGGTGCTGGTAACAAATTTCAATATAATTACAGAGGGCCTTGTGTTATTAAGAATTCTACACTTCAAGATCCAGAATCCGGTTAAAATATTAGGTGTCCATTTAGATAGACTAAAGATGGATTATGTGC